TCATTAATCCATAAACCACAGTTTACAAACAAATCAATATCAAACAAATCACATTAATGACTGACTCAATAGGCAACTTTACATCTGTAATATTCCTGAAGTCTTAAGTTTTCTGAGCACCTATTTGTTTAAAGGTCATGTCAGGTCAAGGAAAAGCACATAGGTCAAGAAACATCACCGAGAAAATCTTGCAACAACTACCACTAGGAATGCGTCCATCCCACCTACGAAAGGTGTTTTCACAAAGGAAAGCAGCAATCAAAGACAGCTAAAATCTCAGTAGCTATTAATCAACGGCAAACCGAAGAAATTGATTATCTGTAGCATGGCGTAATGTTTCCGTTTAGAAATGCAAGATGGAAGCAGAGTTGCCAGGTACAGAAGAACTTCTTCCCTCAAAATGACGCTATATGGCACTGCAAAACGACGCTATATGAACACCAGAACAACTAGACACAAGGACAATTTTTTCCCGAAGGCCATCACTCTGCTAAACAACTAATTCCCACAACATTGTCCACTTATTTACTAAGACTGTATTACTATTATTCCTCTCATCCTTCCTAGTACCTATCTCTTCCTACTTATGACTATAACTGTATTGTTTGTATCTTTACGATTTATATGGTTTTATTTAGTTACCTAGTATAATTTTGATTGCTTATTTATTATCCTAGGACTATCACTAAGTGTTGCATCTTATGATTCTTGATGAATGTATTTTTTTTCCTTCATGTACACTGAGAACATATGCACCAAAGACAAATTCCTTGTGTGCCCAATCACACTTGGCCAACACCAACATGGAAAGCAGACCATTCCCAGCAAGAATATGTGTGGGTTCCCTTGTACCCCACCCTTTCCAAGCTAGTCTTTCTCTTTAATAAGACTCTTCAGTATTAATGGGGTAAAAGACAATCATCTTATTATGTGCTCTCATGACAAAAGGCCTTCCTCTTTGTCCCACAAAGAAGCCATAATGTCAACGGTACCATTTCACTCCATCACGAGAATTGTGGATTTAGTTTAGTTTAGTTTTATTGTCATTGCACCTCTACAACGAAATCAAACACCATCTTCAGTGCACATCATGACCATGGAAATAAACACAAACACACATCCTTCAGCCTCCACACATTGAAACCCTCAACATCACACCAACACTGCACTATATAGCAGAATTCAAAAGAACTACTGCCCTGGGATAGAAGCTGTTTTTCAGCCTTTCTGTTCTTGTTTTTATTATCCTGTACTGTCTGCCAGACGGTAATAGTTCAAAAAAGGGTTCCCAGGATGAGATGGATCTTTAAGGATGTTTGAACTTTTTTAATGCATTGAACAGGGAGCCACAGCTCTCTATGAGGGCTACCAGAGAGTCCTCGACTTACAACAGTTCATTTACTAACCGTTCAAAGTTACAACAGCACTGAAAATCATGGACTTATGACCAATTTTATACTTACAACCGTTGCAGCATCCCCCCATGGTCTCATAATGGGGATTATCAAAATTCAGATGCTTGTTCCACTGACTCCTATTTATGACGGTCTCTGCGTCCCGGGGTCCTGTGATCCCCTTCTGACAAGCCAAGTCAGTGGGAAAGCCAGATTCACTTAACAACCATGTTACTATCTTAACAACGGCAGTGATTCAATTAACAACGGTGGCCAGAAAGGTCGTTAAAATGGGGCAAAACTCACTTCAACAAATGTCTCACTTAGCGACATAAATTTGGGGCTGAAATTGCGGTTGTACCTGTAGTTGCTTGAATCATTTTGAAGACCATCTGGCTGCTGGCAAGGATGAACATATAGCCCGTATAGGCATTCAAGGGAGCAGGATCTCTCGCAACCCAGCTCGAGAACTTTGGTTGGCCTGCAGACATGACGCTCCCACTTCTTGCGGTAAGCACTTTTCTTATTCTAAACAGAAAAGAGGCACCGAGGCACCAATGGAACTGACCGCTTGGTTGCGTCTGCTCAGCTTCCACTATCAGCTAGCAAGGCAAGGCAAGAGAAGCTGAAGAGGACCATTAAATGTTCACTGAACTGAATCCCACCTAAACATCAGCAACATCAGCCCTCTTTCACTCAGAAGCCTCCCTGGGAAAAATCAGGAGAGAGGGGAGGGGAATATAATAGTATTTTATCAGCGCTTTCCAAGGCTACTCAATTTATTTGCTCTGCCCCAGTATCAGAAGGAGAAGGGCTCCCATTAAAAGCCTTTGACAAACATTCCCCTTAAATCTCACGTGGCATCTGCAAATAAAAAGAGTCCTTTTTGCACAAAATTATATGTCTGGCATTTTATCCTCTGCCTTGATTTGTTGGTTGGGCAAACCACTAAAAGTGAAAGCAGACCAGAATAAAGAAAGGGAACAACAATGCTTCCAAAACATAGCAATCAAGCGATTTTGCTTTAAGGGGATTCTCTCCCAGGGAAAACCACAAAGGGGTCGTTGCAAACTAACCAAATATTTTTTTTTTTAATGTATGCATCCGCTGGTGTACCACAGAAATGTCAGTCAACTTTGGCCAAATGCCCCAGCTGGAGTAAAACTTTTTTTAAAAATTGTAGTATTTGAGCGGTGGAGAGAGAGAAAGAAAAAAAAAATAAGAGCAGGCTTCAGACCCATAAACCTTTGCTCCGTAAGAATTTGGTTTCAAACCATCTACATTTTGGATAGAAATCGGGTAGATCAAGCCCCCAGTTCTTTAATAGAACTCATCTGCCTTAAGCATGTTACCTTTATTGACAGCCGGAGACAAAAGCGCCTCCTTTTTTTTGTCTTTTTCTGCCGCTTGTTGGCAAAAAAAAAAAAAAAAACTAAAAAGGGATTTAAAGAAAGGAAACCATTTATTCCAGGCAGGAAAAATGTACACTGGAAACAGACATAAATCAATCTGTTTTGGAGACAGATCAACTCCCTGTTTCCTATGACGGAGCCGAATGTCATGTGGTTAGGTAAAGTGGGTCTAGCAAAGACTCTGGTCTTCTTTGGGGAGACTTCAAAGACTCCCCCAGGGAAAGTGGGACTTCACCACAGAAGCTCACCATGGGTCCTGGTCTTGCATTTCCCACTCACTTTCCCTCCAGCCTAAACACAAAGTGCAGTCAGTAACACAAGAACGTGCCACCCACAGCACTTAAGTCAATGCTTCGGCACTGCACACCAGAACAACTAGGCACAAGGACAGCTCTCCCCCCCATGTGATCACTCTGCTAATCAACTAATTCCCACAACACTGTCAAATTATTTACTAAGACTGTATTACTGTTCTTTTTCTCATCCTGCCTATTGCCTACCTCTTCCCACCTATGACTATAACCGTGTTGCTTGTATCTTTACAATTTATATTGTTTTATTTGTTCCTTAGTATGATTCGATTGCTTATTAGTAACCTACGACTATCACTAAGTGTTGCATCTTATGATTCTTGATGAATGTATTTTATTTTTTCTTCATGTACACTGAGAGCATATGCACTGAACACAAATTCCTTGTGTGCCCAATCACACTTGGCCAATAAAGAATTCTATTCTATTCTGTTCTGAATTCTATTCTGAATTTTATTCTATTCCATTCCATTCCATTCTATTCTTCTGAGATTCATAAGGAAGTAATGGTGAAGGAGAATCAGTGAAGGAAAGAATCAGCCCAGGAAAGCTTTGGGAGTGACTGTAGAGTAGGAAAGAAAGGTGGAAGCTCCCACCTACCTCTTCCCTCCCTGCCCCCACTCCAGGCACTATAGTAAATCTCTAAGGCCCTTTAGTTCCAGGTTAACTAAGGAAA